CCCCAAAACCCCAAAACCCCAAAACCCCATTCTCTAATCAATTTATTGAATACTATAGTTCCACAGCTCAAAAATTATATTTTGGTAATCGCCTTACTGATCTTAATCAGGCCATGGAAGAGCTGGTCAAGTACTTCTTGGGTCTCTTGGTCCTCCTCTGTGATATTTTTGAACGCCTTCTGGTACACCATGAACTTCTTCTACATAGGTTTAGTGAAGGAAAGGAAATACATTCAGATCTTCGGTATAATTACTCTCGTTAAGAAAGCTAATCATTTCTTTCTGCCATTGCTGAGTATGCAAAGCTGTGCTTAAAGGTGGAGGGATCTAGGTTTCAACTGAAAATAGTACTTTTAAAGACTTCCTCTTAGCTATAGTAGCCTGATTCTTCCCTTTTTGTTCTTCTTTCACTTGGTTGATTCCTAGAAATTAGGGATGAATTACTCTCATTAATCCGATGTGTTGCTGATTTTCAAGATCCATATTTGTACAGACTCTTTAGAATCTTTTGAGAACGAATCGGAGGAGGCTTTTTCTCATCCTCAGATTCCTAATTGTTATTCAAAAATCATACCTCAATCAAGGAGGGTTCTGAAAATGGAAGAGTCTTGAACGGCTTATTTGTCTTTGTAGAGCTTCATTATGATGGAAATAAGATCTTTCTTATCTTTCGGACTGTCTTCATCTCCTCATCTTTGAGTCAGAGGCTAATAAAAGGGTTAAAATTTAGACAGCATTTCATACCTTATTTAGCTTGTATTTATTTAATCCCAGGTACAAGCCCATGATTGATCTTGAGCTTGACAGGTTCATTTCTCTTCTTCACTTTAGGCAGCTTAATCTTTGATTTTTGGTTCAAATTTATATGGCCACTAGAGGGAGCTTTCTTCACTCTAAAAGTAGCTTAAGCTTCAATGCGTTCAGTCACAAAACTTAACTGTACAAATCTCTTACCGTTCAGGGAAAACTTTTAGGTAAAATTCCTTTTCGGACATCGTACTTGTGCCTATCTCTGGTTTCTCAATCCTGGTATTAGGATTATAGGGTAAAGGTCGTGGGATGATATCTATGCCTTTTCAGGTACTCTTACCTTTGTTATACTTCCAAAACCGATCCTTAGCTCTATAGTAACTTTGGTCTGGAGAAAGAGCTCCCTTTCTCTTCTCTACATTGAACATAGACTGGGTTTGGTTCATGGGTTTTCTAGGGATTACCACTAATCTCTGAAAGTCTCTTGCTACTTTTAGACTCGAATATCCTAGAAGTGTGGTTATTTAACTAAATTTTGCTGTTGAATTGGCATTTACCTCTTGATGTTCTTCATAATTTTCACATCTTTGGGGTCAGTACTATGATGGAGCTCATGCTCGATAAATTTGTGCTTAGGGTTCAGTAATTCTCGGAAGAACTGATTGTTTGGATACATCTCTATCTTCCTAGAAAATAATGTCAGGTACGGGATAAGAACTCATGGTTTACGAAAGTAATTCTGAGTGCATTTCTGTTTGGAAATTAAATAAATTTGATAAAAATTATAACAAGATGGGGTTTTGGGGTTTTGGGGTTTTGGGGTTTTGGGG